AGTAGACTAACTGTTATCATAGATAACAACATGGACCGGTTTTATTAAGAATATTCTTGGATACTATGATTCCAAATATCAAATATTGTTTGATATACTGAGTATAGTAATTAAGCTACATGAATATTAAGATGTTTGTCTATTATCTTCTTTTTATTATGTACACTGTCTAATAGACATATGTATCACTGTTGATCCATTTTTATTCATGCGCTAGCTTTATTCTTAACATAAATATTTGTTTCTAAATGTTATCATATTTTTGTGGCTGAATAAAACGCCATATAACGTGTTTCGCGCGTTTAACACGTATTGCGTTATGACGTTGCTTCCGGTAATGTTTCCCCTTTATAAAATCCATTTTGTGTACTTTCGCCCATTAAATTGTTTTCTCGTTTAGGACATAAGTTTTTTTATTACTTTGGGACCATACGCCGCTTTTCAAGGAATGGCACTTAAATGTCACAGTGAAGGTTCCATGATAACCGCCGTATGAACACATCTGTGGATGTTTCTAAATTCAAAAATTCATCATTTTTATGTCAAAATGTTGAATTCTGTTTAAGCCGGTGGTAGAGGGCGTGAACGGTAATTTGCAATTAATAACAGTACCGTCTTAAACCGAACCTACAACATTTTCAATTTTGCCGTTTTGGACTTTCTTTAAAGATTGTTATTTTCTCTATTTTACACTGATGAAGGCATATAGCCGAAACATATGCAATAAATAATTACTAAATGTTCGTGTTTGTGTGGCTTATTGGTTAATTTTAACCAATAAAACTACACTTCCTCATCAACAATGAAGATTTTAACTGTCTTATATAAAATGTTACCATGGATTTGACGTTCCTTGTTTCTAATCTATAACAAACGAGAAACACACATTGATAAGGATTTTTACGGCATTGACACACAACTCTGTGTCTTTAATTTATTATGAAATATGACCGACATATGATTATGTTGTTTTGTAGTCTAGTCACTGCACATTACCATTACTTTGTCACAAAAACATAGTTGTATTTTACAGACTTCATTCACTGAGGAATCAGACTTGCTTTTTGTCTTCTTTTTTGTCGATTTGATGCAGACTTATTATTGCTTTCCAAGATCACGGCCCTTCTTTAATATTTTTATACTTCACAACAGCTGGTGTCAAGTGCTGTATGGCAGCTGTAAAAAGTTGCCCTGTTCTTTATTTCGGTATTGTTATATTTTTCTAGTCCTTCGGCTTTTCCAGCACTTTTAAGTGTTGAAAATTGTGTACCGCTCAAGCCGGTGCTATTGGGCGTAAGGATACTGCACTTTTTTATTATCCCTCATGGACTCAATCAAGCCGAGTTTAAAATTTTCATGTAATTTTGTAGTGATTATTGCTTTCGAGGGATCACCCTTCTTCCAGATTTTTATATCAACGAAACAGATGAAAATTATAAAAAAATGAATAATTATGATATTCCGTGAAACACAGCTTTTTATGTATTTGTGAGACATTTTTCATCTTCTTTTTTTCCTCCTCGCCTATGATTTTAGGTTCTTTAATATACATGTATTCCGATAGAAACCATGCCTAATTTTACTCGTGTAGAAGAAAGGGGACGCAAAATTGACGGTATAGTTGATTATCGTGAAAATGGAAAGAAAACTGGCAGGATAACATAACAAAATTGAAAAATCCAGTACCTCACATTTTGCTGGCTTAAATCTGGGACATACATTATGTCCAGTTGACGAATATTTAATTTCAAATGTTGATACTTCTTTATTCTGTAATGCAGCAAAATTATGAGGAATAAGAAAACGAGACTTCAAGTCAAGTCAAGTAAAAATTTATTTGTAAGATAAAATAATGAAAAAAAAACCTTATTCGCGAATAGGGTTTGCCTAAAATACGAAAGTGAGATTTTTGACGAAAGTGAGCGAAAGTGAGCGAAAGTGACTTTTAAAATATTAATTGTAACGTTTTAATAGACTTTTACAATAAAATTGCAGTTTGTAGACGTATATTATTAGAAATTACTTATATTTATTATAAAAAATAATCATAATAATGATTTATTCGGTTTTTATTTGCATAATTTATATACACAAATTCTTATATCTTCCTTTCGCTTACATTGAAAAATACGAAAGTGACTTATAAAATATACCGTTTAAATTGAAATTATTTTTACTATTATTGCACAAATTGGACGTATAATATCAGAAAATGATAATATTTACTTTCAAAGATAATCATTATGATGATTAAATCGCCATTTATTTTGCATAATCTCTATACACAAGTTATATACAGAGATCTTCCTTTCGCTCGCATTGAAAAATACGAAAGTGGCATACAAAATATCAAATATACTGTTTAAATTGAATGTATTACTAAAATTGCAATTAATTTGTAGACGTACAATATCAGAAGTCAATTATATTTATTTTTAAAAATAATCATTATGATGATTTAACCGCCCTTTATTTGCATTACACAAGTTAAAAGATCTTCCTTTCCCTCACATTGAAAAATACGAAAGTGACTTCAAAAATGTCAAATATAGCGCTGAAAGACGCATGTTTTCAGAAATGATTAAAATATATTAAAAAAAATAATCATTATGATGATTTAATATCCATGTATTTTCATAATTGCTGTATACCTGTTCTGATATCTTACTTTTGCCCACATTGAACAATACGAAAGTGACTTAATCGGACGAAAGTCAATGTCAATATTCACGATATTAATGTTTTTTTATAATAAAAAAATAAATGAGTCATTTTCATTATTATTCATGTTTTCATGGTGATTGACCTATAACTGATGATGAAAAAGACTAGCACAAAATATAAAAAAAATCCTAACTTATAAAAAGATTATACTTTACCGATATATATAGTACGATATTTATAGAAAATTCCGTGGATTACTTATTTCCTTTTTTCCATAGTGAAATATTATTTTAACAATGATGGGAAATTCCAAATTATTTTTCAAATTAACATGTACATTGCTCATCTACACCTGGATGAGCATAATAACTGCCACTTTAATCCGTGCAAGATATCTATGGTTGTGCAGAAGAAAAGTTAATTCAATTGTCCACTCAATAAACAACCGGGCAAGTGTCATCAGTTACATACCTATGATTGGATTATAATAATACTTTAGTGGGATTAAAGCGTCATGCGGTCACCGTCGTGTGTACTATCAATTAAAGTGGATGCGAAAATGATATGACAACACGTGTTTGCATGTAAACATATTCATACTTTATTTTGTCTCATTCGTATACATGCATTTTTAAACATATATACAACTATTCACATAAAACCTACATAAGACCATTCCATTTAATAATTTCAAGAGACATTATAATAATGAGAAACACATTCAAGACCTATTACTGTTAGATTAGAATCAAATAGTATAATTACAATATAATATATAAACAGAATATTAAATGTTAGGTAACACCATCTTTAATCAAAAATTAAAAACTGCCCGAAAAAGACGATGTAAGAAATAGAGAACTGTAAATCGGGGCCCTAACACATAAATTGTATAATTCGTGTTTTTGCCAATTATAGTTTACATAATAAATTTCATTTTTCATCTTAACATATTTAGTTTTATAAAAATGATAGTTACTATAGCTTATAAAATACGTCTACAAACTGCAATATTATCATGAAATTCTATTTCAACGCTATATTTTATATTCTGTAAGTCACTTTCGTCAGGCTCACAGTAAGTGAAAGGAAGATCAATGTCTTAGCCTGTGTATAAATATTATGCTAATAAATGAAGATCAAATCATATTGATTAAAGATACTAGTTTTGATAATATACCTCTACAAACTGCATTATTAATATTAAATGCAATTTAAACGCTATATTTGATATTTTTAAAATCACTTTCGCTTCCTCTCCCTAACATTGAAAATACGAAAGTGAGCGAAAGTAAGATCTCTGATATTGCTATATAGAAATAATGAAAATGCATGAATATTAAAACCTCATAATGATTTTTAAGTATTTTCTATTCATTTCTGAAACTATGCGTCTACAAACTGTTATATTAATATAAATTCAAAATAAACGGTATATTGAATGTTTTATAAGTCACTATGTAGATCTATGTAGTTGTGTATAGAAATTATGCAAATAAATAGCGATTAAATCATCATATATTTGAATGATTATTTTTGAAAATGAATATTATCAATTTCTGATAATATACGTCTACTTAGAGCAATTTAAGTAAAAAATCAACTTAACCAGTATATTTAATATTTTATATGTCACTTAAGTATTTTTCAATGTGAGCGAAAGGAAGATTTCTGAACTTGTGTATAGAAATTATGCAAATAATAAATGGCGATTAAATCATCATAATGATAATTTTTAAAAATAGATATTATAAAATTCCAAAACTATACGTCTACAATCTGTTATATTAATATAGATTTAAATTAATGGCTATATTTGATATTTTGAAGTCACTTTCGTATTTTTTCAATCTGAGCAAAGGAAGATATCTGAACTTGTGTATAAAAATAATGCAAATAAATAGCGATTAAATCATCATAATGATTATTTTAAAAAATAGGTATCATCAAGTTCTGATAATATACATCTACAAATTGTAATTTTAGTAAAAATTTCAATTAAAACAGAATATTTAATATTTAATAAGTCACTTTCGTATTATTCAATGTGAGCGAAAGGAAGATATAAGAACTTGTGTATAGAAATTATGCAAATTAGTAGCGATTAAATCATCATTATGATTATTTCTGTTAATAAATATAATTATTTTCTAATAATATACGTCTACAAACTGCAAGTTTGTTTTAAAAGTCTATTAAAATGTTATAATTACTATTTTAAAAGTCACTTTCGCTCACTTTCGCTCACTTTCGTCAAAAATCTTACTTTCGTATTTTAGGCATACCGTTCGCGAATATATTCATATTCGCATTTTATCTACCGTATTTGAAAGTTGCTCAGTGTGTGCTTTCCATGTCGACACCGATCGTTTTTACTTACCTCCCTTTGTTTACACGAATTCCGAAATTCCGGAAGAGATTTTTATTTTAAATCGCCGGCATTTATCAGGTGATTATCATAAAAGAAAGTGTAAAACTCTTTTGAATTACGAGAGCGGATTTTGTGGAAGAAAACCCAGTCCTTTTTTTAATTAGGCATATACAGAAATTTTAGTGGGTGGGGGATTTGGACCGAGGGATTTTCCCGTCATATTGCCACCAGATTTCCCCAGATTTTAACCTCTTTAAAAAATGCATTTTCTTAATTTTTAACCTATATACATATTTTCACATTAATAAATGCGCATATAGTATGGAAATTTCATGCAAAAATTAATATGAAATTAGGCAAAATCCTATCAACGGGGAAATCTGTTAAAATATTTGTTATTTTCATTTTCCGTTTTAAAGTGCTTTGACTTCCCCGTATTATTCATTTAGATCAAAGTAATGTAAACAAGGCAAAGCATCAAAGCAAGCTCTTTGACAGAAATTACAGTACATTATAATTTAAAGCCAATGGTGGCTACAATTTTATGTTTTCAATACACTGAGAAATGCACACTTTCGGCAGCACAATTCACTCAACACCATATTTTACATTTTCTATTTTAAAAGTGCCATTCGATATTTTATGCTCCGCTTCCATTTATTGTAGTTCCCTATCGTATTATGGTTCTCATAAAAGTGCGCAGGACACCAGTCTATGCATCAGTTTTCAATCAGAATTCCTCCGCTTTTATTGTTATCTTGTAATTTGAAAAATTGCGATGTTTCAATTTCCATTAACTTTGCAGTACTTCTGGGGAAAGCTTTCAAAATCATCATCCACTATGAAGCAGGCCCTTCATACCAGCTATTCAAGCTTGCTATTTATATAAGACGTTATGGGCTTGTTATTGTTTATGTCTCGGGGTGTCTGTTTGACCCTTGAAATGACTCTTTGACCCCTCAAATTTCCAAAAAGCCTGATTTGACCCTCAGGATTTTAACTGGATGGTCAAATTTTGTTAAAATCATGGGGATTTGACCTTGTAGTCAGTATAACTTAGTCAAAATGACACTCAGTATTTTATGGCTAATGAACACCCTGTGTCTGTCAGTCCTAACGTCTAATAGTTATTGCTCATAAAGGCATAGAATCATTAAAAAATGTCTATTGACTTGTCGTTCAAGCTTTATTCAAAAGTTTATCAAATTTGTTTTCAATATCAGGCCTAAATTAAAAATAGCTTTGTTTGCTGTCTCCCGACCGACCCTAAAAAAACGCTGCGCTCCGAAAAATTTTATTTGCTCTCGCAGACCATTTTTTTTTTTTTTTTTTTGGTGCCGCATATTTTTACCGATATCCGTTCAATAACGGCGTGTAGTATTCTGGTTCCCGCGTATTATTCGTCACGTGTATCGACTATCAAGTACCGCCGGGTAAAAGTCGATGTGTACACATCCGTTACAATTTTGCAAAACGAAAGTTAGAAGATCTTAAAGAAGACGAGTATTTTATCATCATTTATTATTACGTTTATTCAACTTTGTTGAAAAATAACCTCCACGAGAATGAATTTGTCTGGGCATGGGTCGATCTGTTGAATGACGTCGAGGATTTTTACCCGAAAAAAATCGGACGTTCTTACGGTATGCTTAAATACTGGTTTGTGTTAAAAACTTACTGAGTGCTCATGTAATCGACTTAAAATAAAGTTCTTGTAAATAAATAAAGTTTCTTGTATGTACTCACTCATTTATAAGTACCAGTATTTATTAAATAATCATTTTCTTCAACCAGCAAATGCACTTATCTTATTGTTTTCAGTACCACCTGTCTTAGTATTTGAACCATTTCAGCAGTCGTTTATCACATTTTCTCATTATTGCAGGGCTTTAAGAATAGTCTTCTAGTGGGTTAAAATGCAAGGCACTGAATGCGGATAAACCAAGGTGTATTTACTCCAAGAATAAATTGACAGGGAAACATGATCTCTAAAACACAACCTTGAGAAATTTGATTACAACTGTGATTCAGTCATTACAGTTGATGGTTAGTATTAGTATTGCACATTGTTGTGCTTATTTTCTTAAAATAGTGATGTCAAAATGTTTTTACATAATCAACTGAAAGTAGAAACCTGATTTTATTCTTTCTTACATATTTCCCATGTTTGTATAATTAAAAAAGTTAAAATAATTGCATTTTTGGCAAAATCTGTATTGCATAAAGTCTAGCCTTCTGTCTGTTTTCATAGGAGATGCTCTGCAAGGGAGAGTGTTTGTATGACTGCAGATGTCATGCCAATCTCACGTGGAGTTCCCTTACTGTGCCTCCAACATTGGACGACCAGATATTTGTGCCCATTGTGTCACAGATGAGCCAGAAGCACAGAGAAATCCAGAACTGTTAACAAAGTTTAGCCTTTAGGATTGTACTTCCAGTTTATGAGCAATGCATCAATGTCCACAAGAAAGACATTCCCCATAGATGTCCTATAAAAATGAATACTGTGAACCTAAATTTTGTTGGTATACTGTGGCTTAACTGTTTACTTGTCTGAACTGTTAACAAAGTTTAGCCTTTAGGATTGTACTTCCAGTTTATGAGCAATGCATCAATGTCCACAAGAAAGACATTCCCCATAGATGTCCCATAAAAAATGAATACTGTGAACCTAAATTTTGTTGGTATACTGTGGCTTAACTGTTTACTTGTCTGAAGTTGCTTAGTGTTTGAAATTGTTTTTCTGGTTGTGTCACTAACTATTCATTTCAGTGGGAAAAAAAATGTAAGCAGACTTTAAACTGTTGATGTATAATGATGCCTTTTGTTGTTCAGTAGTTATTTTGCATAATATATTTGAGTATATTTGTGTGTTTTAGTCATCCTCTCACATGTTGGGTGAATGTTTGAAATTTTGCCTTTGTTACATGTATTTTTATTAAAAAGAACTATACTTCTTGTATTGACTAATTGAAAGATATACAAACTGAAATTAAGATATATCAATTTTAAAAAATTTTATTTGCATTTTTATTAAACCGTTTTTTCCAACAAACAGAATCAAACCAAAAACATGTATGTATTTCCAAAAAAAAAAAAAAAAAATCCCTACCTACCTACCCAACTCTAAAAATTAGGGTCGGGAGACAGCAAACAAAGACATTTTTAAATGTGGCCTCATGCGCAATCATTAAAAAAATCTCAAATAATGTTGTTATCAATCTAAAATGAAATACACTCATCAATCTATTTTTGCCAATCGGCAATACTGGCTAAGTAAAGCGCTTTACAGATTGGTTCTAAATTTTTGAACGGAAAAATATATTTGTACTCGCTGGTGTTGCATGGGCAAATATTTTGTTAAAAAATATTTCGTTTGAAACTTTTGACTTATGCAAACGCTTGCATTTGAATAAGCCAATCAGATTTCGGGCACTATTTGTGTATCGGCTGTATAAGGAATTTAATTAGATAAGAGGATTTAGTCATAATTATTCAGATGTGATGGTTAAATTAATTTGTTAAAAGGAATTAAGTTTTTTTAATTTTGTTCATAAATACATGTAGGTCAAATTTAATGTAAATATATACCCTGTCTTTATTTATTTATTGCTTTTGGGTTTTTTTTCATTCCACCAGATATTCTTGGCAAACGTGCCATAATTTCAATATGACATTGCTTTGCCCAGAAGCAAAATTATCTCAAAGCGACCTCATATTTATAGAACTGATTTAGATGTAGATCTAATTACAAGAGCGATCAGTGATCACATGTGTCGCCTCATGATGGCCAATTTCATGTTGGGACAGGTTTTGTGACAGACAGACAGACAGACGGACAGTGCACAACAAGACTTGGTACTGATCATTCCTGTAAAGTTTGGATAAAATTGCACCAGTAGTTTATGATAAGTAGTCCAGACAAGCTTTTGTGTATCTGGCAACACACAGAAAAAAAACACCTTTTTATCAAAGGGCCATAACTCGGCCAAAAATCATTCAACCGGAAAACCCGTGCAATATGCGCAAGGACTTGAGCTACAGATCAATCCTGTAAAGTTTCATTGAAATTGCATTAGTGGTATAAGAGAAGTAGTCCGGACAAACTTTAAAAATAAAAATTATTAAAGGGCCATAACTCTTACAAAAATCATTGAACCGGAAAATGCTGACAATATGCACAACTAGACTTGGTACTGATCATTCCTGAAAAGTTTGGATGAAATAACACCAGTAGTTTATGAAAAGTAATCCGGGCAAGCTTTTGTGTATGTGGCAACACACAGAAAAAACACCTTTTTATCAAAGGGCCATAACTCGGCCAAAAATCATTCAACCGGAAAACCTGTGCAATATGCGCAAGGACTTGAGCTACAGATCAATCCTGTAAAGTTTCATTCAAATTGCATTAGTGGTATAAGAGAAGTAGTCCGGACAAACTTTAAAAATAAAAATTATTAAAGGGCCATAACTCTTACAAAAATCATTGAACCGGAAAATGCTGACAATATGCACAACTAGACTTGGTACTGATCATTCCTGTAAAGTTTGGATGAAATTGCACCAGTAGTTTATGAGGAGTAGTCCGGACAAGTTTTGTGACGGACTGACGGACAGACATACGGACAGATAGATGAGAGAAGTGATCCCTATATGTCGCCACTACTCACTACTCCGTAGAGGCGACACAAAAATTTGTTTTAATTAATCGCTCATATTTTGTTTTTGATAAAATATGAATAAAGGAAATCCTCAAAGTGAGCTCTTTGACAGAAATTATAGCACATTTTAATCAAAATCCGCCAGCACCTACACATTTTATGTTTTCACTTTGAACTGCATACATTTGGCTGAACAATTCACTCAACACAACCACATATAACGCCATTTTATGTAACTTTTTATATGATTTCCATTTTAAAATGCCATTCGGTATTTTGAACACTGCTTCTGTTTATTCTGTTATGGTTCCAGTAGAAGTGCGCAGGAGACCAGTCTGCTCATCCGTTTTCAATCAGAATTTTAGGCTTTTATCCTTATCTTGTAATTCAAAAAGTTGCGATTAATCAATTCCCCATTACTTTGTAGTACTTCCGGCAAACGTTTTCAAAACCATAACTATCTAGCAGGAACATGTACTCATGTTACTGTAAAGCTCGATTCGCGAGTAGGCCTTTGGGCCAGCTCTTCGAGCTATAAATTTTATGTTTTAATATATTCTGTTATATAATTCTTTGGTTTTAATGTTGATATAAAAGTATAATATTCAACAAATATATTTTCAATTTATAGATCTACGGGCTAAATTGAATGTCTAAATTAAAATAATAAAAAAATGAACTTGTTTTAGTTATCAATTCATTATTTAATGTTGTATTAAGGGATTTTAGTATGACTTGAAACGTGATTGCACCCTGATTTGCTACCCTTGTTTGTCACTCAAGATAATCCAATCAGTGGAACAATCAAGTTGTAACAACATATGTCATGCCACACATACTGATTTATCCCTATGTATTAAAAATGGAAGCTGAAAAGACCTAAGCCAAAATGTCTAGGAGGTGAAACGGCCTGTCACCTATTCTTCTGTGACAAGGTTTTGTGTGCAACTTCAAATCTTGTAAATATCTGACTTTACTATGGACAGTTAACTTAAATTGACCATTTCAATATCCTTGGCAATTAATTATATCCAGTACATTAATATGGACTCAGCTGTTGAGAATAACATCTAATGTATTATGCAGTACACTTCTGTTGTTTTAATTGTTATTATATTTAATTGTTTAAAGTGGAAAAAACTTAATCACTTGAAACAGAAGGTACTGGAAACTATGTTTAGCAAGGTTTTTGAATTTGTGAATCTTTAGACATGTTTTCAAGATAATTATTTCAGGTCACTGTCCGAGACCTGTGGTATGGATTTAAAATGAATTAAATCATCTACCATGTATGAAATTACAAAATGATGGATTAGGTTCTGCATGCAACCATAACTGTGCTTCATTGTGAATTAAAAGTCTTCATGGTCATTGTTTTACTTTTAACTTTTGCATGCCAGATTTATCTCCAAAGACACTGACTATAATCTAGTCAGAAATAAAGGTATTAATCAAAACATGTGTAATATAAAAGTTGCTTAAAATTGCTTGTAAGTAGGGATGGCAACGAGTAACCGGTTAACCGAGTACTCGATCGAACGTCCGATTATCGGTTAACAAAATTGATATTCGATTACTCGGAAAAAATATTTAATTTATATTTTTTTACCATTCAGAAATATTGGTGTGTCTAATTTTCGGAGACATGCATTATCTTTATTAAATACCTCTTAATCAAAACATCCTTGCAGAGGTGCGAAAATGATAGGCGATCAACGGTTGACACGCGCACATGTGTCGCTTATGTCATCCAGCTCTTATGATATTCAGTAACAGTTTGTAGCGGAAGTAACTATTTTTTTAAAACAACAAAGGGCCGATTGCTTTTATGAATGTAACAATAAGGGGAAATAGTATTCAGACCCCTTTTAAACTTTTGTTGCCGCCGATCAGTCTATATTATTTCAAGACGAAAAAAAGATATATGAACTGTCATACTCGTTTTAAACTTGCTATTGCATAAATTAAAATGTTGTAAAATATGATGTTGTTGATTTAATTTCAATTAATTTGTCTCCCGTGCAGTCCTATTTATAGTTACGAATTATATTAATTTAAATAGAAAACGAAAGTAGCATGCGGACGGTGTTGATTCTGTGAGATCATGGAAATCATCCGAGTAACCGAGTACTCGATCGGAAAAATGACCGAGTACTCGAGTATTGATTTTTGTATTCGTTGCCATCCCTACTTGTAAGCTACATATCATTTTTTTTTTTTTTTTTTTTTTTTTGGAAATTGTCATGCCTTGTTATTGTTTGTTATTTACAAATAAGAGCTTTGTTTGTTTATAATGTAAATTAAATCTTTTATCATCTTTTATATTTTCTGTTTTCAGAGTGCAGGCACTAAGTATTCATGGTTGACGTTCAGAAACCAGTAGCACAGCTAGTGGAATCATCTGATGAAGCTAAAGCTGCAATATCATCAGGCCTGGCCTCCCTCCTTATCCCTGAAATGTCTATCTCCGGTCTCATCAGTACAGTGGCTGCTCTAGCCATGGTATTTGGTGGTGTGTTTCCATTCATACCACAGTACAGAGATATCTACAGATCTCAGAATGCGGAAGGATTCTCATTGTTTGTTTGTCTCAATCTACTCATTGCAAATATACTCAGAATTCTGTTTTGGTAAGTCTTGGTTTTAAATTCATTATTTTTCTTGTCATGGCTATATACACACCATTGTTGGTTACCTGTACAAACTAAGGTAAAGGACAGTGTATATAGACTGACATCTCCTGATAATAATTGAGAACATACAAGTATACATTTAATCTTTGTTATTATTAAAAGCTTGTATAAATTTGTACAACTTAGTCATATTTCTGTGCAGGTATTTCCTTTTTTGATATTTTGATTATACAACATGCTTGTAGAGGTTAAATATCAATCTAACTATGGTCTGGACTTAAACTTAAAAGCATGTTTTGCCATATAAATATAATTTTCTTTGTTAGCGATTTTTTTATATTTTATAAGTAAGTTACATTCTAGCTTTGTAAATTATTAAATCATTGCCATTCCTATAAAGATTGTGTGTAACAAGTTATTGTAATTAGAAATCTTATATAATTTCTCCAGGTTTGGTAAACATTTTGAGATGCCATTGTTACTACAGAGTATTATAATGACATTTACAATGCTTGCACTGACACATTTATGTGTAACTGTAAAACACAAGTCAGAGATTATTAAAGCTAAGCAGCATAATTTTACGGGTAAGTTTTTTCTATATTTTTAAATCATTATATTCACAAGTTACTTTATTTTTTTCATATTATGTAGTGAAGATAAATTCCCTATATTTTATTTGCATGTTTGTTTTATTGATATTTAAATGTGGTACATTCTGTACCTTGTAACTGTGTATTGGCCAAACAGTTGTCTGTTAGATACAAGATACCTATTTGGGTAAGGTTCAACTATTTTTTTGAAGTTTTGGATATTTAATGGATCAGTCACGCCATGTCAGATAGCTTAATTAAACGGACGTCATGCAGATGAGAAAAATTGAAGCAGAAAGTTACTTGTCAATTATGAAAGCTGTTCCCAAATTGCAAAGCTATACTTAATTGGTCTAATAAAATACTGTTATCATGCAGAAGTAATTATAAATAAAATCTATATGGCAATTATTCTGATTATGAAACCCAAAAATCTTTTAAAAAGAATACAGTATTTACTATGTAATATAAATCAAATTCTTATAAACATGAAGTGATACAATATTTATTACAGGGAGACAACTCTGTACTAAAACATCTTTTTTTTCTACTAACAGATACTACAACAAATTATAGGTTCCTGGGTAGGTGAAATGTTCAAGCACTGATATTTTACCTCTTGTATGTGCATGTAGACTTAGTTACCATGGAAACTGACCATGATGTCATGGAATGCAAAATAAACATCCATGAGTATTATCCAATGCCTTCTCTAGCTTGCAAAAATAATGAAACATAATTATATTGGTTGTTAAAAAAAAGTGTTTATGTTGTAATGCCTTGCCTTGCAAAACTTTGTGTTGCAACTGAATTTTTCAAAGTGACCTTATTATATAAGAAAAAATGTAAAACTAGATTTAAGAATATAAATGTTTGAAAGTGATTCTAACTGGGGATTCTTGGGTTCTAAATGGTAGGGGACTTAAGTATTGCCTGCAATACTTTGATAATTGCATGTTAGTCAAGAAATAAAAAGAATTAAGATCAAAGAGATAATTTCACATCCTGATTACAGAGAGCATAGCAGAAATTGTTCTGACAGAATATTGGGGAAAAAAGTATGTATTTTATATCTTTGGTCACTTTGAAAATATATGTAACTGTTTAACCAGTAATTATTCATTTTTCGTTCTTCCATTAACTCAATCTTGCCTGATTTATTATTGTTTGTAACTAAATGCATGCCAAAAAGATTGTTCTTTGCAATGAGAATGTATCAATATTTAACAGAATAGCTATAGGCAATACAATTTCTGTTTTAAAGTATCATAGTATGGTGCAATGTCGTTTTGAATTGAATACATTAAAATTTGAAGAGCTACAACACATTGCTGCCTCTAGGTTTCAAGTGCTTGAGATATCAAAATGTTTTTTTTATGTGGTTTAATTTTATATAGAATTTTAAATACATGTATTAATCAAATTCTCAAAAAGTAGGTACTAGTAAGTTATATTATAAATATCACAGGGCTCCAAATATAGTGCTGAAACTGAAAGTGGCAACACTGCTGAGTGGTGTGCATCGGACTGGTAATCTAACGATTGCTGATCACTTGGATTTAAAACCTGTCTGGGGCAAGCAGTTGTTTCCATGAGCAAGAAACTTTACACTCATGGCTTAGAACTGGTCGGTTCCAGGAATGGATTTGAGAGTGTTTCAATAAGCTTATAGCTTCCAACACAAACTAAAATAAATTAGTTTAGTTTAAACTAAACTGAAAGTATATAAGTTTTTGTACCACACAAATTTTATCCAAATATTTATACACTATAGATCTTTAGTTGTTAGAAACTGCACCCACTGTTTGTCCTAAAAATGCCCTGTCATAAGAAAAAGAATCAGTTTCTGTAAAAAAAAGTTTCGCACTTAACTCCGTCTGTTCCAGCATAACCTTTCCTTTTGATATAATATACATACCCAAGAATAAACAATGCCACTTTAGGAATATCATTAAAATGTTGGATTCTTCTTGTCCATTAATCAGAAACAATATCAGTTGAATGTAGTACTACCATGTTAAATGGATGTGAACAAAATCAGAATACGAATTGTAAGTTACGATTACCAGTACCATATTTCTACCAGTTGGTCAAATAAAAAGCTAATACAAATGTAGGTAATGCTTGGAAAAAAAGAGAGCCGCGTTATGACAAAACCAACATAATGGGTTTGAGACCAGCATGGATCCAGACCAGCCTGCGCATCCGTGCAGTTTGAGCAGGATCCATGCTGTTCGCTATCAGTTTCTCTACTTGTAATAGAGTTGGTAAGCGAACAGCATGACGCGGCTCAAATTGTTGTTGGGCATGAAGCAGCACGCCTTCAGATTAATGCTTATTTTCATGAAAATTTTGAAAAATGTAAGTTAAAAGTATAATATTGTGTAGTAACCAAAAGGAAGCAAATTTTACATTTCAAAATATGCAAAAAATGCCCCTACTGTATTAGTAATGCAGTAGGGATATACAATGTAGTTACACATAATGAAACATTAACCATTAATCATTCATAATAATTATGTAAATTATTGCTTGAATCCTGAATCATTCTTCTTTTCCTAAAATCTCAGTACATTTTTCTCAAGTTTTATTGTATTGAAATATTTTGGATCATCTGGAGGCATGCTGCTTTAACCCCGACTATCAGTACATAAGTGGCTGCCTTAGATTTAGAACTGCCTGATTTATACGGTATATAAAGATGAAAATTTCGAACTAAGCATACAACAGTTTAGTGTCTAATCAAATTATAAGAATATGTAGACTGGCCGGGGTTTATACTTACAGTACAAGGAATCATTAACCCCACTAGTTTACTGTAACTTGTTTAACTGTTCACCTGCTGGTCTTCATAGACAGCAGTTACTATTATAGAGCCAGACCAGGCTGTACATCAATGTAGTCTGACCTGACTCTGTTATACTGTTGGCTGAATTACTTTTAATTTTCATCTTGATCTCCCAAAGATTGATATTTGGCGGCTCTAAAAATGAAAGCAGGACAAATCCATGTAAGAAATTTGGCAAGTAATGGGTTAATACAATAAGTATTTCAGTTCTTACAGTCAATTTTTCTATCGAACATTAATGTTTTCTTGTTAGCTTAATAGAATAATCATTACCGGTTACATAATTGATTTGAAATCTTGTTTAATTATACGTGTCTCACTTTAGATGAATGTTAAAAAAATTATATTTTAAAACATAACACTGTTTAAAATGATGGTTTTAGGAATAAAGGTTTTTGGAATAAGGTTAGAGGTTCTACAAATCTGATATTTCTGGTCGTGAAATTCAATGTTGCATATGATTTAAAAAAATCATTTGTTAATCTTATCATGAATCCAAGTGATATTTCAATAAAAGAGATCTTAAGATAAAATATTAAAAGTACTCGGACGCAATACCTGCCATTATCTTCTTTGAAGGGTATTTGAAAAGTTGCACTAGGTACACATATTTCAAGGACATTCTCTCTGTTGCATACATGTATTAAAAAAAAATTTTGTTTTCAATTAAACACCTTGTCACAGTTCTGCCTGCATTTTTGCATGTTTCCACAGTTACCTTAACATTTTCATTTAAATTGTTGTACTAAATGTTCTTAACTTTAGAACATAGTTTAATAAAATAAGTCATCACCTTGAAATTTACATTGATTAAAAAATTATATTGATGTATATTTTCACTTAATTGCAGTGCATTTGATTTTAATTGGTCAGGGCAAAACACTGGTTGGAAGGGCCTTTGAAACTGCTTTGCCTAAGTTAACCCAGGAGCTTATAATTGTTTTATCTATCTTGTTTGTTTGTCTATTTGTCTGTCTTTCATATCATGATATGGTACTGTTTGATTTGCTTTTAGAACTGGTTTCTTTTGGTAATTTTAAAAGATTTTTGTATAAATTTGCTATTTTAGCTGCCATTATTAATACATGTTATAGATAAACATTTTGTACCATTAAGCTTTTTTGAATGAAAATTTTCATCACATGTATTCACTTTAACGCTTTTTGAATCACAGTAGAGTATTAGCTCATATGAACCAACTGTTCAAAGAAAGTTAATGGTACTAAGAGGGGTGGATGCTTTGATGTCCTAATGCCATCAGCAATGGTCTTCTTTTATAGGTCAAAATTATGTTCAATATGTTATGTAGCAACAGCCTAGTAATATTGAATTGCTCATACTTGTATTAAACCAATATGCCTCTTTTATCGACTATATAAGATCATATACCTCAAACTTTTAATGCTAACCTCACTATATTTTATAATAAATCTTTTAAATGGACATCTCCTAACTTTTAATCAGGACAAGATCATTCATATTTTAAGTGAAAATTTCCAAAATAAGTACTGGATCAAAAGCCAACAGTACTGACCATAATCAGATGGTACAATTTTTGTTAACTGATCTTGGTCTGTACTGGCTGATTTTTGAAGCTATGGGTAAAGCACTATAAAATTTGCTAAGGAATAATTTGCCAGCAAACAGATTGCCATCACAATGATCCTTGTTACCAAATTTACTCAAATATTTGATGAAAATGTAACCAAATTTTGTGAAACATTGCGTAATATTGATTATTGTGAGCTTAGATGTCTTTAGAAACAATTTGTAAATTAAATTTTGTTTTATATTAATTTATCAGTCAATTGTTATAAGATATTCATAAAATTATAAAAATGATGGTAATATTTGTATATTTATATCAAAAACATTCTTTAAAGGTTGCTCTGAAGGTTTTTCTTTCCCAGTTTGATTGTTTAAACTAAAAAGATTCCAGATAAATGATCCTGTACCATCGGTTTAAAAATAATTTTATAATTTATACACATTAGCATCCAGCCAATTTCTCAGTGAATAAGAAATTTGCTGTAATCACCAAAGATATAATGTCTTAATACTTCACTTGTTTATGTGCCTTTATAATTATATTTTGTTACAATAAAGCTATTTTACTTGTGCGTTTTTTTTTTTTGCAGATTTTGAGGTAGAACATTTTTGGAAGTGGTCAAGTTTTGATAGTTATATACAGTTCACTGTGACATTTACAGCATTTATGGGATTATTGACTTATATATTCCTGGACAACTGGGTGTTTATAGAAACAGTTGGATTTTTAGCAGTGTTTGCCGAGGCAATGCTCGGTGCTCCACAGTTCTATAGAAATTTTCAGAACAAATCTACCAAAGGCATGAGGTATGACCATAGTTACTATCTATTAATATGTATTTTTTTATAACATTTGTTTCATAGGTTTATCAAGTAAGTTTCTAGTGATAAATTTTCATATTTTGTATAGGATTCATGCTTCTACCTAAATAATAATCTATCATACAGCCTTCTTGAATGAGATTTTCATAGTTAAATTTTTGGTAGAAAAAAAACATTCCTTTCAAATTACAAATATATCTTGCTATGCTTAATTAAACGGTTTTAAGGGCATCCATGGCAGGGTGGTTTATTATCATTGACTTCAAACCACTTGCCCCTAACTGCTGGGGTTCAAATCTCAACAGGGACTTTGGAATCTTTCATGTGATGAAGCTCTCGAGCTAGCTTACAGAACATTTGTGGTTCTAATGCACGGAAGGGCACCAGAGATCTTCTCCACCAGTCACCATATGACCTATACTGTGTTCATGCAACGTAAAACCCATTCAAAAATAAATAAATTAATAAACAGCTTTAAGATTTATGCCAATAACTTTAAATGCCAGAAATATTGCATGAGTTACAATTTTGGTTAACTTCTCAGAGCCTAGAAATGTTCTTTATGATGCTGTAAATATATGTACTGTAAATGTTATAAATCAAATTTGAAAATTTCACCGTGCTCATAAAGTAAAATACAGGTCATAATTCAGTGTGATATAAGATGTTTATGTTATATTTCATGCTCTTAGCTATAAAATCAAATTATATGTTTTAGTAAGAAGATGGTGGCAATGTGGACATGTGGTGATGTGTTTAAGACTTGCTATTTTGTGATAAGGAATGCGCCGGCACAGTTCTGGATCTGTGGCTCTCTTCAAGTGATGATTGACATTTCTATATTTTTACAAGTTTATTTCTACAGGAACTTGGTACCAAAACCTGCATTTAGCTAGTCTGTGTGGAACTATATTATCTTTTTTTGTGCAAATTTTACTGGAAATTTGTATGTCTGTGAAAAATTAACTAAAAGGTGACTATTTATTTATTGTGACATTGTAATATATTAATTTAGTTTCTACAATTTAAAGTTACAAATTTGAAATATAAGTTTTAAACATTCGGCCATTTGAACATTTGCAAGTAGTTCTTCAATTGGCAGTTGGTCTGTCTATTGTTCTGTTAATACAACAAAAAAGTTGTTTTTTGAATGTTAAAATATTATTGGTTTAAAAATAGGAATGTGTTCCTTGGCTTTTGTGATTTTAACTGGTAAATGTTTGATCATATCGGATGTTAGAATGTATACAATATTAGTTTTAGAATGTAACAACTTGAGAGGGTTTTATGTTTGTATGTACTAGTCCATAGAATAATACAGTGTCATAACCTGAGAAAAGGTAAATATTTGTTTTAAGGTGCAAAAACTATAAAACCATTGTTTAAAAAAAGTGCTTTAATTGCCTTTGAATATGTTTTTCTGATAAAATTATTAATCAGGGTGTGATAATATTAGTTTATCTTTTTTATGCTGACTTAGCTTGTTTCCAAATACATACATTAGACATTGTTCTTTTCATGGAAAATGTTGATATTTCTTGTAAATGTTTATGTTTCTTGTAAAGTTTAATGAAAGTTAGAAAATCAGATTTTTTTATTACATGACTAAATGAAAATAATTGTTGCAGGTTATAAAAGTGATGTTCATCAAGGCTTTAATTACAGGTAATTAAAGACATATAATTATTCTTGAATTGCTACCCAAACTATATGCACTATAAATGTTGGAAATGGAATGTTTTAATGCAAAAAACCCAACAAATTTGAATTAAAGAAGTGAACATTGATAACCTAAACTTCATCCATCAATAGTCATAATTGATTTAATATAAATTTAGCATTTACAATCAGATAAGGGTACATTTTTTCTGGTTAAGTAGTGGTGGGTGGAGGGTTTAATGGCCAAGCCATTAAGTAGCTTGCTTTAAATCACGTAACCCTTTACTACTGTAGATTTTGATACCATCTTAAAGTCGGATTCTTTCATGTCAGGAAGCTATTCAGCTAGCTCACCAGTTGCAGGTTTTACTTAAGTGTCGTCATAGCCCTAAATAAATGCTTGACAGGGCATCCAAGGTACTTCCTCCACCAGTACATCTGGAAAGTAACCTTTGTAGTGTTGATAGGTTTTAAAGCCCAACAAATATAATCAGTTTTTGTTTTTTACACCACATGCATATGATTGACCACAAAACTGTTGTTATTCCTTCCTTATTTCATATAAGTTACTGCAGTTTTGTTGTCAAACCTCAAATTATGATATAATGAAAATTATTATACTGATGTTGGAGTCATGTGATAAAAAATGTTTGTATTTTGTATCATATAGTTACAGAAATCCTTGTGCATTTGAAAACCATAGGCATAATTACAGTGTATGATAATTATGTTCAATTTATCAGTATTACAATACTTAGTTAAACCAGACATAAATAGTAAACATAACTAATAACCATTAATTAAAACATACTTAAACGCCCATTATGCTTTAGAAATGCTATCATTTTTATTTCACAATAAAACTTTTTATTTTGGATATCTTGTATTTAATTCTAATTTGCCATGAACTGTTTGCCATGAACTGTCTTTTGCTCCTTCAGCTCTGTCGGCAATGGATATAATTACAGTGAAGTAGTATTTTGTAAGGAAGTTCAAGTATTTTGTATGGAAGTCAAAATACTACTTTGTTTACATTTTGCTAATTTTAGGACACATAACTGCACATTCAATGCTCCTTTCTACATTTGTTACACATCTAACATGCTCTTATGCCATTATCAAAACATCATTAAACACATGTTTGACCGTTCTACAGAATTGAAAAATATTGATTTCTGAAGCATAATGTGCCTTTAAACTATGCTGTTTTATGTGTGTTCTGCACCTTACATGTATATTGTACACTTAATTCTTTTTCCAAATTTTCATATTGAAAAATACATCACTTGTGTATTCTGAATTTAGTTGATTAAAGTGACATTATGCTCATTTCTTGAATTAATAATATTTCAAAAGATTGGCTATTATAATGGTGATTGACCAATAATTGATACTGAAAATTGTTTATGATACAGTATAGAAAATATCTAAATTATAAAAAGATTGTCGCCATTTTTTTTTTTTTTTTTGTTGAAGAATTGAATGTCACCCATGCATTCTGAATGATATTTACAGAAATTTCTGTTGGTCACATGGAATATTGATTATCTTTTTCATTATACATGTAAAATATGAAATTGAACACCATTATTACAAAATGTAAAGTTATTTTTATTTTAATTGTTTGCTGACCATTACACTTGGATGGGCATAATGCCACTTCAAAGATGTCTGTTAATTTTTTTTTTTTTGGTTAAGATAATTATAAGATTTTATAAAAGTGTAAAATTTCTGGCTGCAAAGTAGATTATTTTAAATTTTTACTGGGACAAAATTCATCTTCGGGATGACTCCGGGACAGACACCTTAATTTTGGGGCATTCCTCGACGTCCAGGATGTTATCACATGTATGGTTAAGATATGCTTTGCAAACAATATGAAAGTTTGTCCCTTTTTATGCTTGCATATTTTTTTATAAATTTCACCTTTAGATACTGTGATGGTTTTAACCACATATTTGATACTGCATATCATGAATTATGCAAAGAATTATTTGTATGCATTGATTTTTTTTAGTATATTTCTATGTATATATAAATAGTTTTACAGGAGTATAATTAATTTGTTCTTTTTATTTTATTTATTTATATAAGGAGTTAACCCATCACTAAGGTGACAATGCGTATGACAATCATACCCAGGTCAATGTATTGTCAGATATTAGACTTAGTTTAACTCAGTACTTTACTTGATTTATCACACACCTGTGCTGATTTTGCGGCTCTGTAAAAATGGTATTGCATGGCCGTGCATATATTTTGAGGTGATTGCAAACATAGTGTAAAAAACGCGCTAAATATGAGTGGTACACTGTAGACACGGTCAATGAAAAATTATTCTTTTGCTCTTAAAACAGTTTTTTTTAGGAGCTGTTTGATAAATAGAATATTATATCCATGTAGGTTTATTACTTAATTTATTGAACTTGTTGAATAAAATGATATTTTGCTTGCCAGAGGCTCAGATTATATAATTTTATTCAGCTCATTAAAGAAATTCAGTATTGAACCTACACTCATTCAGTATCCTCTATTTTACCATTTTAATGAATGCAAAGTAACACCCTATAAACCGCCAGTATAAGGCTAGGTTAGTATGTATATTCATACAGTCCAACAAATCTCTATACTGGAACATCAGTCATAATAATGTTAGATATAATATGGCACCTGTATAGAGCATTGTTTACTTGTATTGTCACCTAATAGTGCAATAACTGGTTAACTCCTATTGAATTCAGAAGGACTTAACATGTAACTGCACAAAAGTAACAGACTATGTCAGGGCAGTAAGGTCATGTTCTTGATTTTCTACTTTAACCAATCAGATGAAGTGTATTTTTTTCTTAAAGGCCCATTATGCCTCAGAAATGATTTTAATTTTATTTCTCAAAAGCTTTTTAATATTGGCGTACTTTTATAGTAAACAAAAAGTTACTGAACCATCTTTTTCATCCCTTGCTTTTTGGCAATAAGTACAGTTATACTGTGTGCATATTTTGTATGGAAGTCAAAATACTTATTTGTGTAAATTTTGCTACTTTTATAACAAATTATTCCGCATTTATCACTTATTTCTTCTTGTAAAAAGCATCTAACATTCTCTTACATTCTCTAAAACCATTATTTAAAAATTATAAAATTCATATTAGCCGTATCTAAAAGAAGTAAAAATTTATTTGTTTCTGAGGCATAATGTTCCTTTAAATTATTTGAAATTGAATAATATATAAGTTTTATTTCAAAATGGTTCAAGTCAATGATATAAAATGTCAGTTACTTAATCAATGTAATCATGTACATTTGTGACTAAAAGTGTCTAAAAGTATTACAGAAATGTTCATTTTACCAGGACCATTACTGTCGCCTTAGTGCTGTAACAGGTTAACTGGAGTTAACACATTACTGCACTAAGGTGATGCTTGATTTATTTTATTACCATTTCTATTTTGCTCTCATGTTTAGCATTAATGTATAACTTTAATTGCTTAGTAATTAAATGTAGAAGTCATTGTTGCATTGTTAAATGTCACTTATCACTTAGTCTGTATTCATCTTGTAAATAAAAGGGAGAATTTAGTATTTAGGTGTTCACAAGTTTGTTTTCAACTATAATATGAGCATCCGCACAGTCTGATCAGGAACCTTGCTGTTTGCTTACCAACTCTATAACAAGTAGAGAAACCGATAGCGAACAGGATGGATCCTGATCAGCACAGGCTGGTCTGGATCCATGCTGGTCGCAAATGCACTATGTTGGTTTTGTAGTGACACGGCTCATTAATTGTTTAACAGATGCATGTCATACATTGTAAAACCTGTTGACTTGTAGCACTCACCCCTTGTACAGTTTCACTGAGGCACGATTACTATGTTTGCATGGATAGTTGACCTTTTTACTTTTCACATGTTATTTATCATTAAGAATGTTTTTTTGTTTTGTTTTTTTTTTGTTTTTTTTTGGGGGGGGGGGTTATTTTAATTAACTAAACTGGTATATACATATGTAGTGAAAATTTCAGACCTCGTAAAAGAAAATTGGATTGTAAAAGAACTACTGTTTTATATCAGATGTTCCTCCTTTTTGTTTTATGTGTATTCTCAGTGAAATTGTGACAGGGAAGTGGTTGTGTTTCATATATATACATGTGGTTTTAATAAAATTTTTGTCAATGAAGTACATTCCTTATCAAGGTCAATCTGTGATAAATTAATGTTTTCATTTGTTTAAACAGTAAAAATTACACTCATTAAAATGTTGAAGTTTCTTCCTTCAACTAAACTTGATTGTGTCATATACATTGTATATTCATTATGGCAGGAGTAGTTATTATTATAATTACATGTATAATTATTGAATGGTACACTGTCGATTTAACGGCATAATATATAAATGTATAAAACTTTGTAATTTTTCAGTTGTTTTTTTTAAAATCAGAAATATTTTCTTTTCTCATTGTTTGATGCTTTTTAGTTTGCTAACTAGTTTGCTAATTGTATTGTTTTCCGCCATTATAAATTAAATATTCTTTTACTTATGTTTAATGACATGAAATGATTTAAACTTAAGTGAATATGGTTAAATATTGCACTTAACTGTAATTTTTCTTTATGCATTCTTTTATCTTTTTAATGACATTTGGTCAGACTGTAGAATAAAACAACTTTAATTTTTAACTTCATTAATTTTATTCCACTCAACCTTATAAAGTGTATAGGGATAAGAGATGGGAAAAATTATTTCATCGCGTTGTCTTGTTAATATTATGTACAGGCACTCACTGTTTATTATTTAAAACAAAACAAATTGAAGCTCCACATTTTGTCAAAGTTTGGGTTTTTGTTATGCATATTTTATTATTCACACATAAAAAGATATTTCCTAGACAATTGTAATGTTATTTTGTTCTACCTAATATGGTTTTCAAATGAAATGATATGATGTAAATTGGGTGACCAAGGCTTGATTCCTGGACATTGCAGGCTGCTTTGGTTGTTATTTCCCATATAATACTTCCTACAGTCATTCATGTACAGAGGTAACAAGAATATTTTTGCCAAAG